TTCTGGACCTGGCCGCGCTGGTCGACGTGGCCACCCAGTTCGACGCCGCCCACCTGCCCACCAGAGTCTCCATGCACGGCGACCAAGTAGAATCCAACCGCCTGGACCGGATCCTCGTCCCTGCTGGAGTCCTGGATCGCGTGTCCATCTACGCGACCAGCCACTACCACCTCTCGGACCACCGCCTCGTGCTGCTCCAGGTGGGCCCGCCCACCACCGCCGTCTCCTCCCCCACCCAGCCTCGCTTGGCCGCGATGCTCCGCTCGGGCCTTGCTCTCGAACATCTGGCTGGCTACATCCGGGAGTTGGAGGAAGACACAGCGCACGATGACGACGACGGGACCTTCTGGGATAGGTGGACCTCCATCAAGGCGGGGCTGCTGGCGGAGGCCAGATCCCTGCACGACCCACGCCACGCTGCCAACGACAGCTACGTCTACAGGGCGAGACGTTACATCGCGGCGCAGCTCGAGGCCTCCTCCATCCGGGCCGACTACCCATCGCTGCCGGACCTAGCACGCGCCATCCGCCTCCGACGCCCGGTCAGCGTCATCAGGGACGAGCAGGATAACATCATCGAGGGCCCCGAGCTTCGGCGGAGGGCGTTCGCGACCTTCCAGCCCCGCTTCGCCCGTCCCACCAGCGATCCAGCTGCGGGAGCTGCCTTCATCGCCAGCAGCGCGTCCACCACCACCCGCGAGCTGAGTGAGGAGGACCCGCTCCACCGGCCGGACATCAGCCCCAGCGAGATCGCCAACGCTATCGAGCACCTCCCTCGCGGAAAGGCCCCCGGCTGGGATGGCTTGCCGTGCGAGCTCCTCGTCGCCTTCAGCGAGGACTTCTTCGCGGAAGCTCTAGCCCGGGTGTTCGCGGCATCACGGCTCCGCGGTGCCCTGCCTCCGTCGACGCGGCGCAGCTCCATCTGCCTCGTGCCCAAGGCCCGCGGAGGTCGCGGCCTTGACGGCTACAGGCCCGTCGCGCTGCCCTCGGCCGACTACAGGGTCCTGGCCGCCATCCTTCACCGGCGACTCAAGCCCCACCTGCGGACCCTTGTGCCGGAATGCCAGACTTACGCCGTCCCCGGGAGGTCCCCGTCATGGAACATCGCCATGGTGACGGACGCCGTCGAGGAGGCCACCGCCCTGGGCTCGCCGCTGGCCGTCATGGGCGTAGACCTGGAGTCCGCCTTTGACTCACTAGACCGCGGCTTCTTGGAGTCCCTGCTAACGTCCCTCCGCCTCCCGCCGGCCTTCAGGGCCTGGATTAACATCCTCTACGCCGGGGCGGACGCCACCATCCGGGCCGGAGGCTTCTACACCACCGCCTTCCCCCTCCTCAACGGCCTAAGACAGGGTTGCGCCGTGAGTGCCGCACTCTTCAGCATCGCCACGGGGCCGCTACTACGTCGCCTGGAGTTGACCCTCGGCGTGGGCAATGTCACCGCCTACGCCGACCACATCGTCCTCCTGTTCCATCGCGACGAGGACTTCGAGCGGGTGGCGACTGTCTTCTAAGACTATAAGCAGGCCTCCGGAGTTGGCGTGAACCTCCGGAAGAGCGCTGGCCTCTGGTGCGGCGCCTGGCGCAACCGCGGCGACTCCCCTCTCGGCGCCTCCTGGTCGACCACCTCCATCAGGATCCTCGGGCTCGAAATCGCCCCCAGGAGCACCGTCGCCCACCGGGAGCAGCATCTCCTGGCCCTCCTGGAGACTGCCTGCCGCAGATGGACGCCCTTCACCCGCGGCCTCTCCCTCGTCGGGCGAGCAAGAGCGGCGAACACGCTGGTGGGCTCTGTCATCCAGCACCACCTGCATGGCTACCTACCATCACCCCCGACCATCGCCAAGCTGCAGGCCCGACTGGCGAGATTCGTCTGGGGACAGGACCACACGGCGTGGCTTCCCGCCGATGTCATGGCGAGGCCAGTTGCCATCGGAGGCCTCGGCCTCCTCGACCTCGCGACCCAGCTCCAGCTCGCCTGCCTCAAGGGGGTGCAGGTCGCGCTCCGCGGGGGCAGAAATGCCTTCAGCTGGCTGGTCGGCGGCAACAGCGGGGAAGCCTGGATCCACCCTCCTCCGGACGGCACCCGTCTCCAGCCCCGCCGTCTCCGGTTGCTGAAGCTATGGGAGGAGGCCTCCAACATCCTGGGCCTCAACCACCGGGCGGTCCCCACGGCTCAGCTGCTGGACCTCCCCATCATCGGCGGCTGCCGGTTCCTCCGCCCTCCCGACCTCCTGGCCCCCGCCCGCTGGAGCGGAGCCCGAGTCCGGGACCTCATCGAGGAGGAACACCTCATCGCCCGCCCTACGCGCTCGGCCCAGGCTGAAGCCGCGGCCCTGGGCGCCTTCTGTCGGAGGCTGACCTCCGAGAACGCCGTGGGCTTCGGGGCGGAGTCCACGCCTTCATCCAGTTCCCTTGCTGCGGCCGTGGTGCTGCGTGGGACGGCTACGCCGTTCCTCAACGGCCTCACGACGCGCTCGGCCCGACGGGCCCTGGATCGTCCGCGCCTCGCCGCCACGCCCATCTCCAGATTCCTGGCGAGATGGACGCCCACCATCAATCCACCATCCAGGATCGACTGGGCCTCGCTGCGGCGCTGCGCCTATTCGGGTCACGAGGCCGACGCAGCTCTCAAGCTAGCCCTCCACGCCCTGCCCCATCCGGCCCATCCTGCCTCGGTCGGCCCCTCCTGTCCTGCCTGCGGGTCCATCGACCGCTCCCTCGGCCACCGTTACTGGTGCTGCCGCTCCATCAGGCCGCTCATCAGAGAGGCCTTCAACATCATAGGGCGGCCCCCTGACCTGCAGGCTTGGATCTTCGGCGGGTCCGGCCTTGAGGACGACGCCCTTTCCATCTTGGCGTCGGCAAAGTTGCGAATTTATCGCTACTTTGTACAGGTTGGGCTCGGAGAAGCAGTGGAAGACCCGCTCATCGCCTGGTCCAGGACCCTCCAGCGCCGAGGTTTTCTTCCTCCATCTCCCATCACCATCTTGTAAAATATGTTTCATATATGTATATATTTTCTCTTCTCATCTTCTTTTTTCTTTTTCTCTCCCTGTGATTGAAAATGTATAATATTGTCTAAGATGACAATAAATATTTTTTAATTGTCAAATTGTCACACACACACACACTCCTCTCTCTCTCATGTGAGATGTAATATTGTCTAAGATTACAATAAATATTGTTTAATTGTCAATTGTCACACACACACACACACACACACACTTCGTTCTGGTCTGACTTATTGATATGGAACCATCGAATACTGACATGAAGCCAACACCCCAGGACGGTGTAACAATATATAAGACAATCTAGAATATATTTCACTGATCATGTCTTCCCTGCGGTCCACCCTGGACCCTTGGAATATTCGACCAAATTCTGGTTCGTTTCCAAGGTGACTAACGTGGCAACGGAACCCATTTTCCAATGAAAAACAACTGTCCTGGTGTGTAAATAACACCTACCCACATATTCTCATGCCCAGCAATGGTCGCAGCCTTGCAGAGAATTGACATAGACCCAGAACAGCAGCTTTACACATCCAAGATAGGGACATTGCGACTGCTGTGATAGAGATGCATAGGGACATCTGAGGCTCTTCATTGGACACGACAACAAAAACAATACAGTATACACATAAAGATAGTGGGCATTGCTGCTGCTGTGATAGAGATGCAGGTAGACATCTGAGGCTCTTCATTGGACACGACAATAATAACAATACAGTTTACACACCCAAGATAGTGGACATTGCTGCTGCTGTGATAGAGATGCATGGAGACATCTGAGGCTCTTCATTGGACACGACAACAACAATACAGTATACACACCCAAGATACTGGACATTGCGACTGCTGTGGTAGAGATGCATGGAGACATCTGAGGCTCTTCATTGGACACGACAACAACAATACAGTATACACACCCAAGATACTGGACATTGCGACCGCTGTGGTAGAGATGCATGGAGACATCTGAGGCTCTTCATTGGACACGACAACAACAATACAGTATACACACAAAGATAGTGGACATTGCTGCTGTTGTGATAGAGATGAATGGGGACTTCTGAGGCTCTTCATTGGACACGACAACAACAATACAGTATATACACCCAAGATAGTGGACTTTGCTGCGGCTGTGATAGAGATGCATGGAGACATCTGAGGTTCTTCATTGGAAACGATAACAACAACAACAACTGATCATGTCTGGTGCTGATTCACATGAATACCCACCATAGACATCTTTCCAGATCACACGTGGTGATGTACCTTGTTTGATTTCTCTGAATTCTTACATCTGTCATCCCCCTTCCTCCATTTCCGTAGAGCAATTAATTTGAGGCAAGGCGCCTCGTGTAATTGTCCGCTTCCTCATTACCAAACGTCATTAACTCTCATTAGTCTGACTTTCTTGCAGCTTTGGGATTGACATTCTTTGCACTGCATCTATACTGTCTTAAAGACAAAAACGCGCCATCTATATTCAAAAATAGAAATTACAGAGTGTCACTCAAAAGTCTTTCAATATTTAAAATCAACAATTTCATCTGCCGCTTCATTTAACTGCTTCCCTAACATGTGATACCTTCTTTTTTATTATTCATTTGACCTTACACACATTGTATAATTATTTACATAAAATGATAATAAGTATAACAGAGAGAGAATGTATACAGAGTTATACATTATATTTGAGTCGCCAAATTTAAGTCGAGCTCTTTTTCTACATCATATTCATTATTAAAATCAACATTTTTCCTTAGGTTGTATATGACGTATTTTGTAATATCATTATTATATTAATTGCTTCTTTATTTTGAAGCAGATGAAGTGTTGTAGAACGACATTTGAAAATATCCCGCATGTGTTTCTTTTGAACGAAAAACCGAAATTTATTTTAAGGAGAAATAACGATTATTTCTAACCTTAGGGATAAGTATGAAAGGATGAAATGTGAAGAGTAATGATAAACCGAAAAATAAAGTGTCTTGGGATGGGAATCGAACCCACAGTGTTCCGCTTACCGGGCAGATGCCATGTCCACTAGGCTAGGAAGTGTTCTATCATGATTTACTATCGTTTCGTTATTGTTTTCTTTGTTTTCGCTCTTTCCTTCTCTGTTCTTAATTAAGTTTTACAAATGTTAGACAAACAAATATACGGCTATATATAGAGTTGTCTATTTTTAAAATATGAAGCCAATATTTCAAAGTTAATTTGACTACAGTAACCTCAATAGACATTCATCCACATTCCATTATCAGTAAAAAACCTGATGTGAACTTAGGTAGGTTTAAGAGACGTCGATGGAAAATATCCTGAGTTTGTTTGACTGTTGGTTATTGGCCAAGCTTGGTGCCACATACAGAAATGTAGATTGTATTATCGATGCAAAATTTCATGACAGATGTGACTGTGTTCTCATTTTTGATCTAGTCATTATGTTCCAAGCCGAATTTATATTTAGTATCTAGTGATTCATTTGTAAAATATTGAGAAAAATGACTAATTAATTATGAAAAAGGCATCTCCTTATCGTGCAACTTAAAGTTGCTGATGGGGCTTGCGCCATCTATCGGAATAAATATCAACTATTCTCGTTGATTTTTAATTTTTCCAGAATAGGCCAAATACCTATTCTTGATTAATTAAGAAAAGCTAACCACGGACGCGTTTCGGGCTGTTGGCCCTCATCAGCGTGGTGCAAGCTGTACCTCAACGACCAAAAAACTGGTCATTAAGGCATCCTGAAAAATAATGAAACGGGTAGTTTTAGTCCGTGGTTAGCTTTTCTTGATTAATCAAGAATGGGTATTTGGCCAATTCTGGAATAATTAAAAAAATAAACGAGAATAGTTGATATTTATTCCGATAGATGGCGCAAGTCATCAGCAACTTTCAGTTGCACGATAAGGAGATGCCTTTTTCATAATTTATGCACCTTATCACAGTACAATATCACATTTGTACTATTTTTTCACATGACTAATTAAGTTAGATGAAATTGATGAGTCACCCAAATATAAATACTTATAATACAATATAATGCGGCTATGATTATAGAACGATGTTTAACAAGTTTACCTCAAATGTTTCTTTTTACAGAACGAAAAATCGTTATTTTAATTATCTAAGGAGAAATAATGACTATTCCTATCTTTAGGGATGAAGTATGAAATAAAATTAATTGTGAAGAGTAATGATGAACAGAAAATAAAAAATTCCCATCCCTGGACACTTTTATTCTTCCGTTCATCATTGCTCTTCACAATTCATCCTTTCATACTTCATCCCTAAGGATAGGAATGGTTGTTATTTCTCCTTAAATAATTAAAATTACGATTTTTCGTTCTGTAAAAAGAAACATTTGAGGTAAACTTGTTGAATGTCGTTCCATATATATACTTAGTTGAGATGGACAGGGGATATTTTTCTCTAACCCAGAGCGAGCCAAGCAACCTCAATTTTTAAAAAAATATTAATTCAAATTTGCTTTGATTCAAAGTAAGACAGTTGTTTTCAAAGTATTTTTAGAGTAAATAACTTTTTTCTTGCAGCTTAATCTTTGATTCTCCCAGAATTACAACATAATATGCGTAAAGAGGCAGATATACAGTTCCGAAGTTCGGCAAATAAATCCTAGGTAAGTCAAGATAACCAAACATCAAGATCAGATAATTTAAAACAAGGATAAATATTTTGAAGAAAGAAGTTGCCTGGCCGATATTCATATTTCTTTAAAAATAGACAATTCACCTAGTTGAAGTTTTATTTTCTCAACGTTTCAATAAAAATATTTTGTATTTATCGGGAAAAATAAAAATAAAGCATTTGGCAAGCCGTTAAAAATTATTCTAATTATTTTTAATGCCTTGCCAAATGCTCTATTTTTATTCTCCCTGACGAAAACAAAATATTTTTGTTGAAACGTTGAGGAAATAAAACTTTAACTGTCGGAATTGCCTATTTTTTAAAGATAAATAAGTACAAAGGTGAAAGAGGTTGTAACACTACTGTTTGTATCTTGATAGATTCTGTGAGCCAGCCGGCCATTCACATAACTGTCATTTGTATATTGAAATTTTGAACAAGATTGATAAAGGGGCTAACTTAATCCGTGAACGGCTAGTTTGCGCCATAAGAGAGATCATGGAACAAAATCGAAGACAATTGACAATTAAAATACATGCAAAGTGCACAGTCTGCACTATTTAAAAAAAAAAGATAATATGGATTATATACACTATGTACAATGAATATGGCGCCTCTGCCAGCGTTGCAGAGTTTGGTGGAGAATCGCCATGTGGGTCTCCAGCGACACCACGCATTTCGTGGTCTACGAAGAATACGTAGATCGCGTACTTCGCCGCTGAGGAGATGGTGATGGCGTGGTCTTCGAGACCAACAAAATCGAAGATATTTCTTAGATCAATAAAAATACATACAACTTTATCTTTTTACGATTCCGTGTCAATTGGATAGGAGTCATAAAAGAAAAGAATCAAGGTAATAGTATACTTTCCTGAAAAAAAAAACCTGAGTTCATCACTAATCCATCCATTTTGGAGCCTACTTATTTGATAAAGTGTTTATTAATACAAAGCAATAACGCGCCATCTATATATAACGAATGGAGACATTAAGACGCGATTATTTCTTTCAGAAATAAATCAAACTTCTACTATCCTTACTGCAATGAAAAAAAAATATTGGGAGGGCTTGGTTCATTAGTGGTGAACCCTTCCAGCGGTTTCTCCAATTTGATCCACCATAGCTCTAATACTTTATTGGAAAATTGCTTTTATACGCTACTAAGAACAGTAGAAGTTTGATTTATTTTTAAAGGAAATATTCGCGCATTAAAGTGTTTATTATTGACTTAAAGAGTTTTGAGGTATTACTTATCAAAGAAATTTCTCTATAATTTCAGGGTTTATTCGAATAAACGTTTTTAAAGATAGGTTAGTTAACTGTCTGGAACCACTAGATGGGTATTGTCCAGGTTTCTAGAACTTTAACATAAAAAAAGTAAATATTACATTATATTACAATATGATATTGTAAATAGCTCTCAAAAAAGTATTGTTTAGGTAAAGCTCTATTTGATAACTTATCAGCGTTCGATGCTTTATTTCCTTCGGGTGAGAAATTATAGGAGCCAAGATAATAAGCAAAACACGATGGTGTTTATCCAATTTAAATATCAGAAAAATCATAGAATCATCGACGGTGTAAAATTAAAGATAAAATAATTTTAGAGATTCTATAACAATTGATGAATATGTTAATTGACCCTTAACAAATGGCAGAAATCCAAATTCAAGAATCCTGAAAGTTCAGAAAATCTGGGTTTGGGCTTATATTATGGACGACAACTAGGCCAACTTCGAGCAAAGGAAGTATTCGCTTTCTTCGACGAAAGAGTGCCGGCTTCTTGCTGGTCCATCACGCCAAGTCAACACCACTAAAGGCTGCGCCATTATGGCTCCAAAACAAAATCGAGCAAATAAAGGTTTCTGGACAAGCTCGAACATGCCGGATGAAATCTGCAGCTGGGACCAGATGCTGTATCTGTAATAGTCCGTGGAGTTAATTCCGTTGATCTTTAACAAGGCCCTAGAGAACAAATTAGTCAAAAGCTGCGTAGTGCAGCATGGAAAGGTTTCCGGGCAGGTCTTGGCCTGGAACTGCATGAGATGGCGGAAACAGTAGGATCGAAGATGGTCTGTTGATAAATGGAGCTCACCCCTAGCCCTTCTATATCAAAAGAAACCCGAAAAATCCCCATCAGCCGAAATCGATATCTCATCGTAGACCCGGACATCATCCAGACCCTAGAACCTTACCTATAGGTATCTCACCCCCTCACTCCTGATGTTAACTCTTCTGGGGCAATAGCTAGATGGACCTGAAGAAAACGGCCTTCATCCTCATGAATGATTGAAAGAAAATCACGGAAATTTCAAAAAATATTAAGGCACCTGCTAAGGGTGGCTTTACCCTGGTCTATTTGAAGTATGGCTTGCGTTACTTCAAATGCTAGCGAATGGGTCACAAGAGGATGAACTGCCCCCATATTATCAGGACTGCAAGCACTTCCCATCCTTCAAGCCAAAAGAGCACTTTTAAAGGAACGGCGTTTTCTCTTAATATCACTGCAACATAATATCACCACCTGTAGCATTCAGCCACTTTGCGCCAAAGGATTCCCTGGCACAGACGTTTTACATACCTTAAGTCCAAGACGCCGTAATTCCCGAGGCTGTAACTATTATCAGTGCTCTAGAAACATCAAACCAGACAGACCCCAATTATAAAAAAAGACTGAAACTCCAGCCGTTCCAACAGCAAGAATAGATCCAGGACCTTGACGCAAAAGACACGATCAATGGCTCAAAAGCAGATAGATACTCTCCTCGAGCACCTGCCAAGCTCCCTCTTCGGAGAGGTTGAACTTTTAGGAATGAAGGAAGAAAATATAAAGAAGGTTTTCACTTCCATTTATAAGCTAAGGCAGCTCATGGACAAGCGCTTACATATATTGTATGAATAATTAATTGATTTTTGGATTTTACAAGTCAATCCTTTATAAAAAAGGCTCGCTGACCTCAGAACAAGAGCAAAACGCGCGCAAGAGCTATCGCCTTGTGTGGATTAATGTTTGCGGCATAGTCGCTCGACATAGTTGCATTGAGCTGTGATGCTTCCTTAGACAGTATGAATTGGACATTGTCTTTGTACAGGAAACGAGTGTTAAGACTCTGAACAGCGCCTTGGAACTCTTCAGCAGTTACGCCAGCATTTGTCGCCAGGGGATCCTGCCTCGCCTGCATTTTTGTGCCTAATGATCATGTCTTTAGACAACAGGTTCTATAACAGGGAAAGATCACCGCCTTCAAGTCACTATCCGGAGTCTACGGGCGACGTTCCTCAAATGCTATCTATCTCTTTCTCCTTGCTCTAGCAGTTGCGGGTCATCGCGGCTACTGCCATCAAAGATAGTGCGTAGGCCTTCGGGGGCCTAAAAATTGCCGAAGAGTCTACCAGTAACA